GTTAATAGTAAATGTTGATGATCAAAGATCAGTGGCAAATGTTGATGATCAAAGATCAGTGGCAAATGTTGATGATCAAAGATCGGTGGCTAAGGAGGTGCTAAGTCGTTGGTTAAGTCATCAACAATAATAATTTAAAGATTGCATCAAAAATGTGTACGTATTGATTATATACATACGTTAAATCGGTTTGTAAAATAAACACAATTGAGCCATGACTAGTGACAAAATTAAGTTTGAATATACGGTATAATCTAGATATTAGAGTTAACTTATTTCGAAAATATGTGAAAGCTTAAAAATTCTTGTTTCTGTTTTAAAATAGGATTTATTAGATCACTGATTTAGAAATGCACAAAAAATTCTGTGCCGAAAAACTTTAATTTTGATACTTTTTCACTTACTTTTTTGATACATCTAAACATATCCTAAAATTTCACTAGAATAGTTTTAGGGCATGTAAGTACAGGAGTAAGGTTTGTCGATTTGTATCACGTGGTTACATGAAATGTAATATCACGGGCCAATTCAAAATTTTAGAATATCTAGCCTATTTCTGCAAGTAAGCGCGCTCCTTAATTCTTGAAATATAATTCGGAATTCCTCTGAATATTGCAAATAATCAGGTTATTACTGATAACTTTATTCAAATTTTTAAAAATTTTAATATCATAACTATAGTTTTTTGAACAAAGATATTTTAGAAACGACCAAATGAATCGCGATGTTCAGGGCAATTTCAAATTCTACTTGTCGAAAAAAATCCAACCAATTAACGTGCGACATTGCATTTTCGTGTAACACGTGATGGAAGATCGACAAAACAATCGAAAATATAATCATTAACTCTGAATCACTCTATTAATCACAAATAACTCAAATAAAATATAAAATACTCGTAAGAATCAAGGATGTCTAGCACCAGTCAAATACAAATGAATCTTTCACAGAAACTCAAAACTTTAGCACTTATAACCAAAGATGAAAAGTTTTATGAATCTCTCGACAAGCTTGAGACCTTACCACGTGTCGAAAAAGAAAAAAAATTTAGAGAACTTTTAAAGAAAATAGATATTTCTGAATTCGGTTTAAATCGTGTATGCCTTACTTCCAATAGCGAAGATTTAATGGTATACCAGATGTATGAGAATCGCAGAATGTCAATAATGAAACGAATTTTTTCATTTGCAAAACAACATGAACTTGAGCACGTTCCCTTTGAGTTGATGAGTATTCCCAACAATAATATTATTGGATCCGGCATAGATGGTAAACAACTCGAACAAGTTATATGTGCAAATATCCATGTCGACAAACGTTCCTTCTGTAGGAACATCGGTAATAAGCTTTGTAGTAATTGTCGAGTTATCTTTTATTGCAGCAAAGAGTGTCAAAAGATGCATTGGAAGGTTCATAAAAATATTTGTAAAGCTGATATCGCATCAAAAGATTGGCAACCTGATTATGACAAGGAAAAGAGAATGCCATCATTTCTTTTAGAAAGTCCTTCTACACCTTCAGTTAACCATTCAAAAAAAGTCAAATCTTTATGGGGAAACATGCCCGCAATTGATATTGCTAAAATAGCTTTTAATGAACTTGCAAACGGAAAATCAAGCTTTAATAAGCCCATTAATCTTTTCTTTGCTGCAAGTGGAGATCTCAATGATATTATTATGTCCGTAAATGGATTGCCACTCGATTTCAATAATCCAATTAATATTTGTGTTAATGATTGCGATGAAATGATTGTGGTTCGAAACTTTATAATTCTTTATCTACTTGCAAAGCTTGGAAAGAATGCTATTGATCTTGCTA